CCTCCCCCTCCCCCTCCGGCCTCGGTCCCAGCTCCCCCTCCCCCTCCAGCTCCAGTTGGGGAACCTCTTCCCCCTCCATCCTGGGTTGGAGCTTCCACTCCCCCTTCCCCCCAATTCCATATCGGAGCACGCCAACTCAGTCAGTCCTTATTCTGAGCTCCCCCTCACCATCTAGCCCTGCACAAAGCTCCCCCTCCTCCTCCGTTTCACCCCTTGGCTCCGGATCAAACATTAACTCAGGCCAAACACTCAACCCTCAATCTCTGTTCTCTTCATTATTACCTGACAAAATGATTGAGGATTCATCAGCTCCAGCTTCAACATCTCCACATGAGGAGCAAGAGAATGTAATGAGCCAAAGTAGACCCAGAGAGAGCAGCCAGCCTGTTGTGGACTCATCAGAAAGAGCCTGGGCCTTATCCTCTGACTCTTTCACACAGTCCAATCCACGCCTGTGGCCACTGCTGACCAGCACAGGGACCGTGGGCCCCACGAAGATCAACATGAACCAAGAAGATGTGGATACCGTAAGTGATGCAGATACCTATCTGGTCATTACTTCAGGGGGAGAACCAAACTCCCTGCCAAAGATCTCAGGAGATCTTGAAATGAGTATTTTACCAAGAACTGTCCAAAAATCAACAAACCAATCAGCAGGTAGGATGACACCACCTCTTGGAATGGAATCTGAAGTATCCTTGGTCCCAGTTAGCATTCTGGGTGATGATGTTTCCCATCATGCACGGAGGAGCAGGCAGCGAGACCGTTCATCCGAACACAGACTTGCTCTTTCAGCAGGCTATGAGGTTGACCTAGTGACACAGCCCCAGTTACAGGATAAAGTCGAGGTTTCAGTTACTTCGACTCCAGCCCGTGAGTTTTCAACTCGTCTGAGTGTTCTGCAGGGTGTGGTGGAGATGTCCCTGGGGAGTGGTTCTGTGAGTAGGGTGGAAAGATCCAGTACAGCAAGTGATACAGCACAGAGCGAGAGCCAGGACCGAAACTCCCTTCCGAGTATCCCTGCCAGACCTGGAGAGCTTATCACACCTCAGCCTGACCAGGGCAGGAAACAGGAAAGTGAATCAGATCAACACACGCTTTCCTTCTCTCAGCCCACTCACGTTCCTAAATCAGAATTGTTCACCACTCAAAATGTAAACACACAATACCTTGTAAACAGTCTCAAAATAGATTCAGTGGCAGGGTCAGTGAATCAGCTGGAAACCACTCATTGGACATTGGATTTCAAAGGCTCTTCATCAGATTTTGATGGGTCCGTTACACCAATCTTCGGCCAAGTAATGATTAAACCAACATCCCGTGCCTGGAACATGTTTGAAATTCCTGAATTGATGACCCATTCTTCAAACCTTCCAGTACAGGAAGTTGCTAATGATGCTGAAACAGATACAGCAACAGTGAGCTCTGAGTCAGGCCCCCGTGCACGTTTCCCTGATATAGTTTCAGCAGTTAGCTCTCTGAGTGGTGCTGTCACAACACTGTCAGCTCAGTTACCGGTAACAAATGACGATGACCTCACGTCCACCAACAGATTCTCCAGATCCATTTCCTTCTCTCCAGATTTGAGCCTCACTGCCGTTTCTGTTGTTGCAAGTGGAGATGAAATGGCGTCAAGTGAAGTTACAGATGACAGTGGTGGTGTTACAGGCAGGGAGTCCGAGACTCAGAGTGCTAGAGACACCACTGTTGAGGATGATGGAAACGCGACGCAATTCACCTTCTCCAAAGACAGGATGACCAAAGGATCAGCCAGTCACAGCCAAAGGTTAGAGGTTACTCAGAGGGCTGAAAGCAGTACAGGATTCTGGGTAATTTATGGTACATCAGTGGCCAGAAAGGACAGTGGCAGAAGGAATACTGTCCGTGACAGTGCTACTGAAAGGATAGTTAGCACAAAGCCTTCTGACAAAACCCTTTGGTTTGAAGGAGGAACCATTTTACCAACAAACTTTGCAGGGGAAAGTACAGGAGGATCCCCGACTGGACATAATGTTGTATCTGGGGATACAGTCCCATTGTTCAGCCCAAGAACACCTGCACCAGAGCCCATCACATCACGGACAGTAGTAAACATAAGCTCACCATTTGTTGGAGTTGATCACAGTGCATCTCCACCTAAAGAGATCTTTCCAACAACCCCGTCACTCTCAGAGTTTCCAGAACAATCTTCAACAAGCTTCAAGGAGTCTCTGTTGCTGACCAGAGTCAGAGAAACCATTACGCCAACCTCAAGTAATACCACAATGTCGAGATCTGGCAATGCAGTTTCATCCTCACAAAGCAAAATTGAGCCCCAGACATCTGCAGGCGAGAGGCTGAGAGAGACCTCAGTCACAGCAACGAATCAAACTTTCCAGAAGGTGACTGTGCTGGACAAACCAGTAGTTACCTCTGGAACACCAGTCTCGGTCCAAGGATCCTGGAGTGAAACACGGCTTGATTCCCAAGCCACGACACCACCTTCGTTCCCGGTACTGACCTCCTCTGTTATTTCGGTGACAAATGTGAAATATCTTCTGCCATCTGTCTCTGCCTTTGAGGCAGCATCTCAACCATCATCTGACCAGACTGGCACAGGGCTTTCACACGCGCTGAGCAGCCCCCTTGCAATCTCTGGTGTCTCGGATCAAGGGGAAGCAGTCTGGCAAAACACTGTGAATTTGAAGTTTACAGCTCCTTCTCCTCCAGCTTTACCTTCTGCTGCTGACAAGGAAGAAACTGTTGCAACCGGTGAGGGATCTTCCTCGTTCTGGGCAGCCCAGATGAACCAATCAGGATTGCAACTTGTCGATGGTTCTCCAGGGCCCAGTGTCACGCATAATGACACGAAGGGCCTTAACCGTGATGCAGCTCAAACAGTCAAACCTTGGGGAAACAAACGGTGGCAAAAAAAAATATTGTCAACGCTTGCTGCGGTGCATACTGTCGTAACCGAGGGCTTTTGGACTCGGGGTTGGTCTGATTTAGGGATGCCATCAGTCAGCCATGGGCTCGAACCAACCTCGGGGTCTTCGGCGCCCCCTGTAGGAACCACATCATTTCCGGCAGTGACAATGAAACCCAGGTCAGTGACCACTCACAAATATCCCGTTACTCTAACCCCTGGCAGTGGCAATAGCTGGACATCAGGGAGGAATGGCCCCTCTCTAATCTCACCCACTCTCAGAATTGGAAAATCAATGTCACCAGTGCCAACGTCTCAGCCACCGCACCTGCCTGTCAACACAACACCATCAGAGAGAGCTGTACAAACTGTAACGCAGCAGCGTACCCTGGGCACACTTGGGGAGATGTCGAAGTCAGTTCCATCGTTTAATCCAACAGAGAGGCGCAAAAACATTTTCATCGTGGAGAACGAGCTGCCGATGATCAAAGGTGAATTTGGTGATCAGCCATTCAGTTCCCAACTAGAATGGTCAGAGTTTCTCTGCTTATTGTATTCAGCAGCATTGACAATCTGTGCATGGGAGAATCCAGAATAAGTCATTCCCTGGGAGAGTTAGATGAGCCAGGGCAGCTGATGGTTTCCCCAGTTATTTTCACTAGAATCGTTCAATATCATAGGAACAAAAGTCAAAATTGGGTGTTGAAAAGCCATGGGAAGGCAGTGCCCTGTGATGACTGTGTCAGGTGACTGAAGGCAGGGGTCTAGGGAGGGCCAGCTGAAGGTGGGAAGTCATTGTGATGACATCGCCAGAATATGTTAATCCAGATTTGGCAACACAACTTTGTAGATCATTTAAACAATGTTCTCAGCAATGAAACCATTTGTACAAACCCTTGGAAATGTCAAGGGAATGATGGCAGGAAGGATACAGGCCCACTGCATGTAATATAATGCAATGCAAGATAATGGGAGCTTACAGGAAGAGGCACAAAATTTCACACAGCTTTTCTCTTTTGCTGGCCTAGTTTATGTTTGACAAAAAGAGAAAAGATGAAAACCGAGACGTGAACTATTTTTAGGAACTTTTCTGGACTCTGGGATATTGAAAGAAAAGTCTGGACATCTAGTCACACAGACACTATTAGTGGAACAGCAATATCAACACATTTCCATTGTGGAACCAAAGCCCTCTGGAAAAGAAAGAACTATCATTCGTTTAGTGTCTTTCGTCTCTTGAGATGTCCACTTTGCAGTTAATGAAGTAATTCTGCTCTTTTTCATATCAGTGATGTGGGATTTGATACGACTAATGAGCCCTTAACAGAAATAAAAATACAAAGAACTGTGGATGCTGGGAATCAGAAACAAAAATAGAAATTGCTAGGAAAAGCTGGGTGGCCTAGTTTCTGTTTGACAAAAAATCTCTAATCTTTACTGGTGACATTGATTTTCCAATTCCGTGAGTGGGTGAGATTAGAGAGTGGGTGGCTCAGTGGTTAGCACTGCTGCCTCATGGTGACGGCGACACGAGTTCGATTCCTCCCTCAAGCAACTGTCAGTGTGGAATTTGCACGTTCTTCCTGTGTCTGTGTGGGTTCTACTCCAGGTACTCTGGTTTCCTCCCACAGTCCAAAGGTAGGTGGATTGGCCATTGCTAAAATTGTCCATAATGTTCAGGGACGCGCAGGCTAGGTGGGTTAGCGGCTAGGTGGATTAGCCGTGAGAAATGCAGGGTTACAGGGGATGGGTGTGGGTGGGATGTTCTTCGGATGGTTGGTGTGGACTCGATGGGCCAAATGGTCTCCTTCCTCTCTGTAGGGATTCAATGAATTCAGCAGGCCTGGCAGTATCTGTGGAGAGAAAGCAGAGATAATGTTTCGGGTCCAGTGACCCTTCTTCAGAACTGACTACACCTTCTATCATCGCCTCCCCTGTCTCTATTTATTTCAGAACCCCCATCCCTCCCCCCAATTTCTGAAGAAGGGTCCAGACCTGAAACGTCAGCCTTCCTGCTCCTCTGATGCTGCTTGGCCTGCTGTGTTCATCCAGCTCTACACCTTGTTACCTCAGACTCCAGCATTGGCAGTTCCTACTATCTCTAATGGTTAGGGAAAGGTTGATATATCAATCAGTTCTGTCGTTCTGCAATGACAATAAATTCTAAAGAAGAGTTACTGGACCCAAAATGTTAACTCTGCTTTCTCTCTACAGGTGCTGCCAGACCTGCTGAGTTTCCTCAGAAATTTATGTTTTTGTTTCTGATAAGCCCCCTTAGTTTAACACTTCATACAAAAGTCAGATCTGATTGTGTGATTTGGAGACACACACTGGGAACATGACGTATATAAATGGCATCAGGAAGAATGGGATATAGAGAGAAGACATTGGGAGCAGTGGGATGTGGAGAGAACAGACTAGGAACATTAGCAAAAGGAGGTGATATTCAGGGAGTGGAAAGTTAAGGAGGGAACACACTGTGAGCAGTTGGAAGTTAGAGAGACAGGAGTGACTGGTTTGAGTGGGAGCATGCCGGGGACGGGAGTGGGTTTATCAGGAATATTGCACTGGCAATGGGAGGGAAATCGTCACAAGTCCTCAATTCAAATGTTTCCCTCTGTAGCCATTGTATATGAGCTTTGCTCAGGGTTTGGTCTAAAATGTTGATGTGGAAAAATGATCACAGTTTCCAACATTTTTATCAATAAAACAACCCTAAAAATTGGACTGCAGCCAGCATGCAAACCCTAGGCTTCAGTCAAATGTTCCACAGGCCAGTCTGTCTGTCACAGAATACCATATTTCATAATTTTCTACCTTAGTCAGACCTCTTCTTATTTTTGGTTCACTTTCTTCTAAGATTGAATATTACTTAGAATTTCTAATACAAAAGCTGATCATTTGGCTTAAATGACCTATGCTGACACTTATGTTCTAACCCTATCAGCATAATCCTTCTGTTCCTTCCCTTTAAATGCATCTGTTTGCGACACAGTAGTGAGTTCCACGTGCTACTTTACCCAGAGAGTAGTCACTGTCTCCTGCATTCCTCATGTGGTTTATTACTGATTATCTTGTATTTATGATTCTTGATTTTTTACAACAGTTCAGAAGCAGTAACGTACTTTGGGAGATCGTGAGGTTGTGGAAAGTATTCTGGAATATAGATTGGAGACACTGGAAACTGTTTAAAGTTTGACTAAATAAACAAACAAACAAAAAAAGTTCTTTCTCATATTGTGTAATATGGTCACTCTTGTGCCTTGAGTGAAGGCTGCAGCGCAGGTGAGCGATGTCTTCTGTGCATTTTTAAGTGCCATCATCTTCCCACAAGTAACAACTTGCATTCACTTAGCACCGTTATCAGAGTAAAACCCTTCACAGGAATATAATCTTTAAAGAAAATTGACACTATGACATGTAAGGAGACAATAGGACTGTTGACCAAAAGCTTGGTCACAGGTAGGTTTAAATGGAGGTCCCTCACAGAGGATAGGAAGTGAGGTGAAGAGATTTAGGGCCTTTACAGCTAAACATGGCTTCCTACTTGGAATGATGAAAATTGGGGGATGTCCAAAACCAAAATTGGAGGAGTGCAGATTTTTTGAAGGGTTGTGGAGCTGAAGGAAATTATAGAGTTAGGGATGGACAAGGCCATGGAGGTATTTGGACAGAAGGATGAAATTTTAATTTTCTGTCTTTTTCAGAGGGTGCCACATTGAACATACCAACAAAACTCATTCTGGACAAGAACTTCACCCACCAGTTGGGAGACCCAACGTCTGATGAATACCAGAATCTGGCCAAGGATTTCACACACAAAGTGAGGTTTCAAAATCATGCTGTTTTCCTTAAAACTGTTGTTACTGTCTTGTACAATGGTGTGAGGACTTTTTTAGACAGTGCGTGATTTTGCTATTGTACGATGTGTTTGCTGTTCCCTCACTTAAAAACTGAAGGGTCTCGACAGTTCATTGAGGCTTCTGGTGTCCTTCCTGTTAGGTGATATAATGAACGTGTGGGTTACAACACGACTCATTTATAGCAAGTCCTCGGTTAACGTCATTAATTGGTTCTTGGAAAATGTCCTGTTATTAATGGGGTTTTGTTCCTGGTGGAAGGGCCAGCCAGCAAGTCCATTAACATTTTAAAACTTAGAAGACATGGAATTACCACCATAAATGTATCTCAATGTCAGGAAATTTGTGAAAACATGAAAATTGGATACTCACCAAGCAGTGAGGCTTTGTCTGACCGATGAATGGTGCTGGAGCTGGGTGTTACTGGAGGTTGGGAAGACTACTGGAGGGCTTATTGAGCTGACATTTTTTTGGACTTTTTAAGGCATTATTAATACTTCAGTTCATCCATAAACTGTACTCTATCATCTGCCTTACTATCAAAATACATCATTGACTAATCTTCATGACTTTATGCAGGAGCCTTTGAAGGATTCTTTGCAATAGGTTTTTAAAATACTTTTTCTCATGACAACTACAGTTTGTTTTATTTTTTCTTTGTAGAGCTCCCTGTAGCAGTTAACGGCAATGTTAATGCATCTGTTCACTACACTTCTATGAGGAGGGAACATGCAGTTTAAATAAAGGAGAAGCAGTAAACTTAATATATTTGGATATCCAGAAGTTATTTGATAAGGTACAACATGTAAGGATTCTTAATAAGATAAGAGCCCATTGTGCTGGAGGTAGTATATTGGCATGTATAGTGGATTGACTGACTAGTAGAAGACAAAGCTAGGATAAAGGGCATTTTCAGGATGGCAACCTGTAACTAGTGGAGTACCACAGGGATCAGACCAGGATTTACAATTATTTACAATATATATTACTGACCTGGATGAGGGATTTAAATGTATTCTAGCCAAGTTTGCAAAGAATGCAAAATTTGATGGGAAAGCAAGTGGTATGGACGACAGAGTTTACAGAGGGATACAGACAAGTTAAGCTAATGGGTAAAATCTTGGCAGATGGGCTATAACGTGGGAAATGTGAGGTTATGCATTTTGGCAGGAAGAATAGAGAAGCTGAATATTATCTAAACGGAGAAATACTGCAGGAAGTTACAGTGGGATTTGGGAGTCCTCGTCCGTCTATCACAAAAAGCTAGCATACAGGTTTAGCAGGTATTGGGGAGACAAATGGAATGTTGGCCTTTATTTCAAAGGGAGTGGAGTATAAAAATAGGGAAGTCTTGCTAAAACTGTACAGGGCAATAGACCATACCTAGAATACTGTGAACAATTTTGTTTTCCTTACTTAAGGAAAGATTTATCGGCTGGGATGTAGTCCAGAGAAGGTTCACTAGGTTGATCCCAAGAATGGAGAGATTCTTTTATAAGAAGTTGAATAGGTTAGACCTGTACTCATTGGAGTTTAGCAGAATGAGATGTGATCTTCCTGAACCATACAAGATTTTTAGGGGACTTGGCAAGGTAGTTGTTTCCCTTGTGGGAGAATCTAGGATAAGAGGGCACAACCTGAGTAAAACCTTGCGCAGTACGACAAGGAATTTCTTCTCTCAGATGGCAGTGAATCCACGGAATTCTTTATTGCAGAGGGATCTTGAGGCTGCATCATTAAGTGTATTCAAGGCTAAGATAGACAGATTTTTAATCAGTAAGAGAATCAAGGGTTATGGGGATATGGCAGGAAACTAGAATTGTGGATTATCAGATCAGCCATGATCTTACTGAGTGGCAGAGTAGAATTAATGGGCTGAATGGTCTACCTCTGCTTCTATGCATTATGCACTCTCTATCAGAATCTTCACCAAAGCTGGCCAATGCCTCTTTAAGCTCTTTCAAGGCACCAGAGAGTGAACTTGAGCTAAATTACTTGCTCGTCGACATTCCTGTCCTCATCAGTTCTGAGGAAGGGTCACCGGACCCAAAATGTTAACTCTGTTTTTTTCCTTCACAGATGATGCTAGACCTGCTGAGCTTTTCCAGCAACTTTGTTTTTGTTTCTCATCAGTCCTCTGTTGTTCCACTTTCTTCAGATCCTCTGTAAACAACACCTCTGTATGGAAGGCAAGAAACTGCAATATCAATAGTGTGGAGCTCATCCAACCCAATTTGCTTGCCCGTTTTCACAGTCATCTCTTGGATCTTGATAGGTTCAATAAAGTCATTTGTTCCAACACAATCTGGTCACAACTTTCTCCACACACCATTTATGGTAGATGGCATGCTATTACCATACAGATGTTAAGGATGGCCCTGACAAAGTTCTGATTCTTCCAATGTTCCTTCAAGGTAGGAACATTGTACCTTCGGTTTCCCTGTTGGCTTGTCCAAAACATTTTCTATGCTAATCAACCTTGAACATTGCAATAATCCTTTGATCCATAATTTGAAAAATTCATGTGGTGCTAGGAAGAGCATGTTAACACTCACTGAGGTCATTAAGTTCCACGGGGTGGTTAGGACCATTTTGCTGAAGAGCTGTGCTGTTTTTTGTCACGATTCTCTGCAGAGCAATAATCTCTAATTGCTAGATACAACTAAGGGAGTTGATCATTATGAGGGGTAGAACAGATTGTGACTACAATACCACAATTAGATCAGCTATCATTTCATTGAGGGGTTGAGTTGTTAGGATGCAAAATGATCCTCAAAAATTGCTCATGTTACCTGAGACTCTTTCATTTGGCCTCCACATAACTGGTAGCTTGTTTTTTGAATAGCCCTTCATTGCTCAGAGATTTTGGGAATGTTGCATGTGTACTGGCTTCGCTTTAAAATCATTCGCTGCAATGTCACACGATCATGAGTTGCTTTAAAGCCTGGCATACACATTTCTTTAAATGTATGGTCTGAAAGACATTCTTTTCCAGAAATAAACTAGGCTTTTCAATCTTAAATATTTGTGGAGGAGTGAATCCATCCTTCTTTATGATTATACAATGCTTTAAATCAGCTGCTTTACCATCAGCAATGACAAGTTCCCCATCTACAACTATGTTTGCAAGTTTGTATGATTTTACCACTTTACAAATAAGCCATGAATAACACTAAATGGTTTTAAATTTGAACTTTGGCAAGATTTCTTTTGGGAGGTCAGTTGGCTAAATGACCAGAGTGTGGTGTAGAATAAAGAAAACATTTCATGGAGGCCTGCTTTCTCATCTTACCTCACACTTTTTGGAGTGGTTGCTTTCAAGCTGTACTAGTGGGCCGAAGGGCCTGTGCTGTGCTATACTGTTCTGTGTTCTATCTCTGATGGAGAACTGTGTCTGTGGCTCTTTATGGTTTTTCTTAATTTCATTGTACAAACTTGAAGCCTTTTCTTGAATAAGCACAAAACTAAGAAGCACGTTATACTGAATTTAATGTGTGATTCAAATGGTTAACAGTTTTTTTCATGTCCAACATAACTGCAATCTGATTTTTTTCTACTTAACCTAATAGCTGCCAAGGAAGATATTAATTTGCCAGACTTTTCTTTTATCCACGTTTGTAAAAATTGTTCTCTCAGTTGCTGCTGGCAATCTCCGATCACTAATGTTGTCAACCATACATTGTAAGATAGAATTTCATTTGAAGTATAACTTTTTTGTTGTCTTATCTCAGCAGAAAGCACTTCACTATCAGTGGCCTATTATGAACAAATTAATGAATAATTTGAATAATGAACAATTCAACTAAGATGGCAACAGGAAGAAATGCTGTTTTGCATGGTTTACAAAATGACACAAGCACTGCCACATCTACAAGACAGTCATTGCTTAACTAGTGGTTCTCAAAAGGAGCATTGTAGACCAAAGTACTCAAAGGTTTTCCAAATTCTCCCAATAATATTGCCTGCAGCCTCAGCTCCAGGAACTCTGCAGGAGTTCCTCAAGGAACTGTTCTTTTGGCCGAGCATCTTCAACTGCTTCATCAATGACCTGCCCTCCATCATCAGGTCAGAAGTGGGAACGTTTGCTGATGATTGCACAATGTTCAGCGCCATTTGCAACTGCTCAGATACTGAAGCAGTCCATGTTCAAATGCAGTAAGACTTAGACAATGAGCTTGTGTTGACAAGTGGCAACATTGATGCCACACAATTTCCAGCCAATGACCATCTCCAACAAGAGAGAATATAATCATCACTCCTCGATGTTCAGTGGCATTACCATTGCTCAATCTCCAACTATCATCCTGGGGGTTATTGTTGACCAGAAACTGAACTAAACCCAGCCACATAAATACTGCGCTACAAGAGCAGGTGAAAGGCTAGGAATTCTGCAGGAAATAACTCACTTCACTTCCTGATGCCCCAGTGCCCAGCATCTACAAGGCACAAATCAAAAGGGTGGTGGAATACTCCCCACTTGCATGGTTAGGTGCAGCTCCTATTATCCTCACTCCCTCCAACATTGATGCACAGTGGCAGCACAGCACTGATGATGCACTGCAGTAACTGATCTAGGCTCCTCCAACAACACTTTTGAAGAAACCATGATCTCTACCATCTAGAAGGAAAAGGACAGCAGATGTATTGGAACAGCTCTATTTGCATGCCCCTCTCCAAGTCTCTCACCATCCAGATTTGGGCTTACATTATCATTCCATCTTTGTTATGAGGTCAAAATCCTGGAACTCCCTCCCTAACAGCACCGTGAGTGTTCTTACATTGCAAGGACTGCAATGGTTCAAGAGGGCAGCTCACCACTGCCTTCTGAAGGGAAGCTAGGGGTGGGCAATAAATGTGGGCCCTAGCCAGCGGCACCCACATTCCGTAAACAAAAAGAGCAAAAGCCTCCTCATGGGCTGCCCAGTTCCCACAGCTTCATGAAAATTACATGGGATCATCCCAGTGATATTAACACATATCACTGGCCATATTGCACAAGGCTCGGTATTCATTTAACAATGGCCTTCATGCAAAACTATATTGTGCAGGACAACGTTCAGTGAGGAAACTGTATGCTTGAGAGCTCCTCGATTATTTAGTTAGCGGTTTAAGGATGGTCTGATTGACTAATCTTGCTCAAATTGCCATGTTACTAATTCCGTAAGCATTTTAGGTAAACTGGATTCATGGCTCCAGGCTCCTGGTTATTCTTCCTCCTCTCAATTGATGTAAGGCTGGATGACTGCTCACATTTAGTGTAACATTATTGGTACAACACTAAGTAATCGTTATACTGTTAATATCACTGGTTGACTGCACACATTGGTAGTTTTTGCATAATCTTATAGGAAAGTGAGATCATTTCAATCCAATTTTCTGCAGGTTTCTCCATTTTATAAGAAAGTCCCTGGATTTCAGCAGTTGCTGATTAAACACTTCAGGTGATTAAAATTCAATTGATTGATTCATCCATCATGTCTCATATTGAGATTTCTTTTCCTTTTTGTTTAGTGCAAAATTGGTATTTGCCAGAACTCCTAACATTACTGTAATGCCTTGCCTTTCCTCCATCATTAATACTGTCTACTAATGCTTCCATCATTAGTAGTCTGTAGCATTAGAAATGAATTATTTGTGAAGTGTTTATGTTTCGGGTATTGTGTTCCCTGTGACAAGTGATATCTGTGGACTGTGTGTGTGTGTATGTGTGTGTGTCTGATTCCATCTCTTGTCTTATTCACCATCTTGTTTCCACAGGGCAGGAAGTGTGTTGATCGAGTTTGACGTTGTCTTTATTGCAAAGGAAATCCAAGGTTATTTGCTGGATCCTAGTTTGATCTTGAATATTACTGGACTGAATATTGTGATTGCTGATGGGTTTGAGATTGATGGAGCCCAGGTGTTGAGCATATATGTTTCAGGTAACTGTCACCTAATTCCTGTACAAAATGTACCTTCTCTAAACGCGCACACACACGCGCGCGCACACACACACACACACACACACACACACACACACACACACACACACACACACACACACACACAGTCAGACCCTCCTATCTTGCCCTCCAAGATTAGGATAACTCCCCTTGTTTCCCCTCATACAATGTCTTTCCCTTATTGTCTCCTCCTATTTTCAAATTTCTTGAGTTTAGAAGATCAGGGGTGGGAGTGATCAAAATTAACTGAGATGATTAAAGAATTTGATGAGGTGAATACAGAGAGAAGTATTCCTCTGGTTGGGGATGGGGTACAAAGAAGCATTACCTTAAAAATTGGATCTAGGCCTTATTTGGATAATATTATGAAACGCTTTTTCACACAAAGAATAGTGGAATTTTGAGATTCTCCCTAAAATTCTGTGGATTCTGTAGAATTCTATGGGCTTAAATAATACTTACAAAATGGAGCTAAAAAGACTTTTTTTAAGGTATGAAGGATTACAGAACAAAGGTGGGTGGTTAGATTTAAGATACTGATCAGACAGGATGTAGATGTCAATTTCAAAGCAGTTTAAAGGCATTAGAAATGGCTTATCAGCAATGCCATATCTCATGAAAGAATGAAACAAACGATGCACTTGAATTGCAGAACATGCTGAAGATGCTGAGTTGTCTCCCTGGATGAGCAGAATAGTCTCCTCCTGCTACCTCACTGCTGTTGCGAAATTCCTACTTTGGGGGCCCGGAAAGCTCCTCTGGACTTAGCCAGTTAAGAGTTAGCACCTTGGGGAAAGTAGGGAGAAATGCACCAGAATGATGAATGAATTGAACTGTTTTTCACATTTTTGTCTGTGTCTGCAGATGATTCCATTGCTTTGTGTGGTCAGGTGTTTTCCTGCCCAACTGGGTTCCAGTGTATTCATCGTGACAGAAGGAATGTGACCTGCACCTCCCTTTGCCATACTGACTACTGCAAAAGCAGCGGCATCTGTACTCACAGCCAGGGGCAGGAGCCCATATGCCAGTAAGTAACACATTTGTGCATTCACCTGGAGTGATTGTATGGACCTGCAAACTGAAAACAATCTTATGCCTGCTGCTATCTGACTAACACTCAAATACAGCAAAGAAAGTAGGCATTTAACTCCTCAAGCCTGTTCACCATTCGATGAGATAATGACTGATCTGGCACTCAACGCCGTGTACCAGCCTTTGCCTTATGTCCATGAACACTTTCTGTTTAGCAAAACATCTTATTAATTTCAATTTTATAGTCAATTAGTCTAACATAAATTCCTGTTTGTCAAACAGCATTCCATACATCTACTGCCTTTTGCATGCAGAATTTCCTGAAGAGTGTTGTAACTTTATCCAACACTTCCTCTGGCAGCTCTTTCCATACACGCACCAAAAGTTAGTGTGGACTTGTTGGGCCGAAGGGCCTGTTTCCACACTGTAGGGATTCTATGATTCTAAAAATTGCCCCTCAGATCCTTTTAAAATTTTTCCCCTCTCACCTTAAATCTATGCCCTCTAGTTTTGGACTCCCCTACCCTGGGGAAAAGACCTTGTCTATTCACCCTATCCATGCCCCTCACAATTTTATAAACCTCTATAAGATCATCCCTCAACCTCCAAAGCTCCAGGTCAAAAAGCTCCAACCTATTCAGCCTCTCCCTGTAGCTCAAACCCTCTAATTCCCCAATATCCTTATAAATCTTTTCTGACAATATATTTCTTATAGCAGGAAATATGTAAGAAATATGTTCCAGTAGACGTGGGGAATAGATAGGTAGGATAAAAATGGAAAGAGATGCTATGTGGTTTGGTATCTCTTAAAGTTAACAAATGACTCAGCCTGGATGGGATGTATTGGAATTGCTATGGGTAGCTAGGGTGGATATGGCAGAAGTTCTGACCATATTCTTTCAATCCCCCTTGGATGAGAACAGTAATGGAGAACTGGCAGATAACAAATAATCCTTTTCTTTTCAAGAAAGGGGAGAAAAGTAAAGTAGTACTTTAGTCCAGACTGTAGTCCAGTCAGTTAAATGTTGGTGATGGAAAAATCAGTAGAGATCATTATTGATGGTAAAATTAATTCTAATTTAGAGAAGCATGTGTTAATAAGGACTTGTTAATAACAATATACTTTTTTTAAAGTGATTAACTGAATTTAAATTTGTTGAAGGTAATGCAGTATATATACATGCAGGGTTTTAAACGGCATTAATAAAGTGTCACGTGACAGATGCAGTTGGAATATACAAGTGGTATATTAACAGGAAGGTGGTAACTTGAGTTTGTAATTGGCTAAGGGATATAAGGCAGAAAGTAGTGGTGAACAGATGTGTATCTAAATTGGAATGAAGAATGCAGTGGTTGACATACACATATAAATGACAGCATCAGGGACCCAGGTTAGATTCCAGCCTTGGGTGACTGTGCAAGCTCCACATAGACATTCTCCCTGTTTCTGCATGGCTTTCCTTTGGGTGCTCTGGTTTGCTCCCACAGTCCAAAGATGTGAAGGTAGGTCGGTTGGCCATAGTGGTTGTCTATGTGTGGAATTACAGGAGATGGAAGAGATCCAAAAAAAATTTAGTTTTTACTGTAGGGAAAGACATGGAGGTGAGCGAACTCGGGGAAATAAATTGATTTTTTTTTTTGAAACAGTCCAAATTACAGCTGGAGTCCTTAAAAAACATAAAGGTGGATAAATCTCCGGGAAGTTCTGAGGAAGGGTCACTGGACCCAAAACGTTAACTCTGATTTTCTTCTTCACAGATGCTGCCAGACCTGCTGAGCATTTCCAGCAACTTCTGTTTTTGTTCCTGATTTACAGCATCCGCAGTTCTTTTGGTTTTTATAAATCTCTGGCACCTGATTTAAGTGTATCCCAGGATGTTGTGGGAAAATAGGGAAGAAATTGTGGGGCCCCCAGCAGAGATCTTTGTATCATCCACAGCCATGGGTGAAGTGCTGGCAGACTTGACGGATGGCTAATGTTGCACCTTTATTTTAGAACGGCTATAAGGAGAAGCCAGGGAATTATAGACTGGTGAGTCTGACATCAGTGGTGGGTAAGTTATTGGAGGGGATTCTGAGAGATAGGATTTACATGCATTTGGAGAGGCACGGACTGATTCAGGATAGTCAGCATGGCTTTGTGCATGGGAAATCATGTCTCACAAACTTGATTGAGATTTTTGAGGACATAATCAAAAAGATAGATGAGGGCAAAGCAGTAGATGTTGTCTACATGAACTTTAGTAAAGCCTTTGGCAAGGTTCCATGTGGTAGACTGGCTAATAAAGTTAGATCACATGGGATTCAGGGAAAGCTTGCCAATTGGATGCAGAGTTGGCTTTACGGTAGACAGAGGGTGGTGGTGGAGGTTGTTTTTGGGCTGGAGGCCTATGACCAGCAGTGTTCTGCAGGAATCAGTGCTGGGTCCACTGTTGTTTGTCATTTCAACCACCGACTTGGATGAGAATTTAGCAGGCATGGTTAGTACATTTGCGGATGACACCAAAATTGGTGGTATAGTCAACAGTGAAGAAGATTATCCAAGATTACGAAGGATTCTTGATCAATTGGGCCAATGGGCTGAGGAATGGCAGACGGAGTTTAATTTGGATAAATGCATTTTGGTAAAATGAACAAGGGCAGGACTCATACAATCAATGGTAGGGTTGTCGAATAGAGAGACCTAGAGGTCACAGGTAGATAGGGTAGTTAAGGAGGCATTTAGCACACTTACCTTCATTTTTGAGATCTTTGAGTGTAGGAGTTGACACATCTTGTTGAGGACATTGTGAGGCCACTTTTGGAGTACTGTTTACAGTTTTGGTTGCCCTGCTATAGGAAGAATATTATTAAACTGGAAAGGTTTCAGAAAAGATTTACCAGGATGTTGCTGGGACTGAAGGGTTTGAGTTACAAGGAGAGGCTGGATAGGCTAAGTCTTTTTTTCACTGGAGCGCAGGCGTTTGAGGGGTGACTTTATGAAGGTTTAGAAAATCATGAGGGCCATAGATAAGGTGAGTGGCAAAGGTCTTTTCCCTAGGGTGGAGGATTTAAAAATGAGGGGGCATATTTTTAAGGTGAAAGTAGAAAGATTTAAAAGGGAACTGAGGGGCAACGTTTTCATACAGAGGGTGGTTTGTATGTGGATTGAACTGCCAGAAGTGATGGATGCAGGTACAATTACAAAATTTAAAAATCATTTGGACAGGTACATAGATAGGAAAGGTATGGAGGGACATAGGCCAAACGCAGGCAAGTAGGACTAGTTTAGTTTGGGAAACTTAGTTGGCATGGATGAGTTGGACTGAAGTATCTGTTTCTGTACTGTATGACTCGATAAATTGCCCTGTAAGTCTAGGTTTGCACAGGTTAGGTGGGTTAGCTATGATAAATGCAGGGTCATGGGAATAGGGTGGAGGGATCGAATGCTATTCGGAGGGTTAGTGCAGACTTGATGGGCTGAATAGCCTCTATGGGCACTTTAGGGGAATATGTGATACTATGACCTGGATTCGGCACAGGGAGCACATTTTAAGGTTTGCAGACAGTACAAAACTTGGCATTATTGTCTGTATGCATACTGCTCAAGTCTGCTACTAAATTCACTATTGATAACATTGCTAATTTATGCAGAAACGTGAAAGATGCAGCTTAATGTGCTTAAGTATTGAATAATGTCCTTTGAGAGAAAGAACATGGTGAGGCATGTGAGGGTGCATATTCACAAATTCCTGATGGTGGCAAATCAGCTGATAAGACAGCTATTTAAGTGTATGAGAAATTTGGCTGGCTTTGTAGGGTTATTGGAAAGAAAAACAAAGATATCATTCTAAATCTTTCTAAATCATTGGTGAGGGCTCAACTGGAGTATTATGTAATATTTTGGGCATCGCACTTTACTCAGGATGTCAAGGCCTGAGAAAGGAGGCTTAATAGGATGATACCAGGGGTGAGGTAGTTTAGTTATGGGGTGAGATTGGAGAAGGTGGCATTGTTTTCCATTGAGTAGACAAGATTTATAGAGAGGACCCAATACAGGGTTGATTGAGCAAGGAGGGAAAATGGTCTAATGTGGTTACCAAATAGTTGCTGTTACCAAATAACACTTACTCATCAATATCCTGCTCATTGCTGCTCAGTTCAATTCCCCAGGATCACTTGGCTCCGATCCTCATTACAGTCTTAGTCCAAGGAGGTGAATTCCAGAGGTGAAGTGGGAGTAATTGCTTTTAACACCAAGGCCAGAACTGATTCAAACGTACATCAAATAACCCAAATACAATTGAAGTCAATGGGAATAAGGGAAAACATTCCATCGACTGATGTCCAAATTAGTACAAAGGAACATGGTTGTGGTTGTTGAGGCCAATCAGTCTCAGCCCACCGACTGTACAAAAGGTCCTCAGGGCAGGTGCCCAGGCTCAAGATATTTCTTAGCTCTTTCAGGAAACATGTCCCTTCCATCATGAGATTAGAAGTGAGATGATCACTGAATATTGTGCAATTTTGAGTTCCATTTGCAACTCATCAGATAATGTGGCAATCTGTGACCACCTACAGTAGTACTGGACAACATCATGCTTGGGCTGATGAGTGACAAGTAACATTCACAACACACAAAAGCTAGGCAAAGACATCTCCAACCAGAGACAGCCTGGCCAACTAACGTTGGCACCTAATGCCGTCACCATTGTCAAATCCCCCACAATCAAGATCACTATTAACTAGCCATTCACGGTAACTGTACCACTGTAACCAGCTTTAGAATAGAATAGCCGTTATTGTCATATGCACTTGAATGAGTGCAGTGAAAAGTTTGTAATGTTGTCACTTTGGCGTCATCTTAGGTACTGGGTACTTAGATACAGATATAAGTGTTTGTTACAGAATTGAAAGAGTTAAAAAAAAAAATAGTCCCGCATAGGAACACAAAGTTTTAACAAGTACTCAAACTATAGTCCTTTCCACTGAGTCCATGCCCACTGGTCTTTAGAACATGAGGCCTCACTGTCTGCACCCACCAGGCTCTGGCCTGCCAGTTGCTTCCAGGACTTGTCTCCCAGGCCAGCCCGAGCTCAGACTGCCTCCCACTCCAGGCTCCGGCCCCCGACCCGCCTGGGACTTGTCTCCCAGGCCAGCCCAGGCTAGGATTTAGAATGATGTCTTTGTTTTTCGACCCAATGACCCTACAAAGCCAGCCAGTATATATGGCTACAAGAATGGGTCAGAGGCTGGAAATTCTGTAACAAGTGCTTCATTCCTGATTCCCCAAAATCTGTTTATCTAAAAGGCAAATGTCAACTGGAACACTTATTTGCTGGATAAATACACCTTCGACAATACCAGATCAAAGCAGTTTATTTGGTTACAACCCCATCCATGACTTTAAACGTTTAATCCCTCTACCACAAGCACAGTATAACTATCTTGTATACCGTCTACAAGATGTACTGCAGCAACTCACTCAGCCTTTCAACAGTACCTTCGAATGTCATGACTGCTAGAAGAACAAGGGTAGCACATGGATGGAACAGTACTAATACACCATCGTTCCTTCTGGGACAAAATCCTGAAACCTCTTGCCATCACCTTTTCAAGGCAATTAGCAATGGGAAAGAAATGTTGGCTTTGTCAAATCTCATTAACAAATGAATTTAAGAGAAATTGGCAAAAGAACGTGAAGAAATTTTTCAAAGGTTGTTTTGAAGTGGAATGCAATATCTGAAAGGGTAATAGAGAGATTTTGGAAGAGCTTTCAATAAGAAGGGCTTGGATGGAGAGGAATGTAAGTGTGCACAAGAAAATTTTCTGATTGTGGATGTACCTACGACAGAAGTTGAAAAACTTGACCTACTCTTGGAAAATAAGGCAGGGCAGGTGACGGGGGTATCAGTGGGGGAGCACGTTGGGGCCAGTGACCATAATAATGATGGAAAAGGATAGACCGGATCTAAAAGTTAAAGTTCTAAATTGGAGGAAGATCAATTTTGACAGTGTTAGGCAAGAACTTTCAAAAGTTGATTGGGGACAGATGTTTGCAGGTAAAGGGGCGGCTGGAAAATGGGAAGCCTTCAAAAATGAGATAACGAGAGTCCAGAGACAGTATGTTCCTGTTAGGATGAAGGGCAAGGCTGGTAGGTGTAGGGAATGCTGGACGACTGGAGAAATTGAAGTTTTGTTCAAGAAAAAGAAGGAAGCATATGTCAGGTATAGACAGCAGGGATCGAGTGAATCCCCAGAACAGTATAAAGACAGTAGGAGTATACTTAAGTGGGAAATCAGGAAGGCAAAAAGGAGACATGAATTAGCTTTGGTAAATAGGGTTAAGGGGATTCCAGTGGGATTCTACAAATACACTAAGGACAAAAGGGTAACAAGGGCGAGAATAGGGCCCCTTAAAGATGAGCAAGGCCACCCATGTGTGAAACCACGAGCAGTTTGCGTCAGTGTTCACTGTGGAGAAGGATATGGAAGATAGAGAACATGGGGAAATAAATAGCGATACCTTGAAAAATGTCCATATTACAGAGGAGGAAGTGCTGAACGTCTTAAAACACAAAGGTGGATAAATCCCTGGGACCTGATCAGGTGTACCCTAGAACTCTGCGGGAAACGAAGAGATTCCTGGCCCCCTTGCTGAGGTATTCGTGTCATCGATAGCCACAGGTGAGGTGCCGGAAGACTGGAGGTTGGTTAATGTTGTGCCATTATTTAAGAAAGGTGGTAAAGAAAAGCCAGGGAACTGTAGACCAGTGAGCCTGACATTGATGGTGGAGAGAATCCTGAGGGACAGGATTTACACGTATTTGGAAAGGCGAGGACTGATTAGGGATAGTCAACATGGCTTTGTGTGTGGGAAATCGTGTCTTACTAACTTGAGTGTTTTGAAGAAGTAATGAAGAGGATTGATGCGGGCAGAACAGTGGATGTGATTTATATGGACTTCAGTAAGGCGTTCGACAAGGTTCCTTGTGGTAGACTGGTTAGAAACATAGGAACAGGAGGAGGCCATTCGGCCCTTTGAGCCTGCTCTGCCATTCATTATCATGATGGCTGATCATCCAACTCAATAGCTTAATCCTGCTTTCTCCCCATAACCTTTGATCCCATTCGTCCCAAGTGCTATATCTAGCCTCCTCTTGAATACATTCAATGTTTCAGCATCAACTACTTGCTGTGGTAATGAATTCCAGACTCACCACTCTTTGGGTGAAGAAATGTTTCCTCATCTCCATCCTAAATGGTCTACCCTGAATCCTCAGACTGCGACCCCTGATTCTGGACACACCCACCCTCAGAAACATCTTCCCTGCATCTACCCTATATAGTCCTGTTAGAATTTTGTAAGTCTCTATGAGATCTCCCCTCATTCATCTGAACTCCAGCGAAAACAATCCAACCTAGACAATCTTTCCTCATACATCATCCCTGGAATCAACCTGGTAAACCTTCACTGCACTCGCTCGAGAACAAGAGCATCTTACCTCAGAAAAGGAGACCAAAACTGCACACAGTATTCTAGGTGTGGCCTTACCAAGGCTCCGTTTAACTGCAACAACACATCCCTGCTCCTGTACTCAACCTCTCGCAATGAAGGCCAACATACCATTTGCCTTCTTTACTGCCTGCTGCACCTGCATGCTTACCTTTAGCGACTGGTGCACAAGGACACCCAGGTCCCGCTGCACACTCCCCTCTCCCAATTTACAGCCATTCAGATAGTAATCTGACTTCTTGTTTTTGCTTCCAAAGTGAATAACCTCACATTAATCCAAATTATATTGCATCTGCTATTGATTTACCGACTCACCCAACCTGTCCAGATCATGCCGAAGGATTGCTGTATCCTCATCACAGTTCACCCTCCCAACCAATTTGCTATCATCTGCAAACTTAGAGATGTCACATTTTGTTCCCTCATCAAAATCATTAATAAATATTGTGAATAGCTGGAGTCCCTGCACCGATCTCTGTAGCACCCCACTAATTACTGCCTGCCAATTTGAAAACAAGGTTAGAAACACAGAATACAGGGAGAACTAGCTATTTGGATACAGAACTGGCTCAAAGGCAGAAGACAGAGGGTGGTGGTGGAGGGTTGCTTTTCAGACTGGAGGCCTGTAACCAGTGATGTGCCAGAAGGATCGGTGCTGGGTCCACTGCTTTTTGTCTTTTATATAAATGATTTGGGTGTGAACATAGGTGGTATGGTTCGTAAGTTTGCAGATGGCACCAAAATTGGAAGTGTAGGGGACAGTGGAAAGGTTACCTCAGAGTACAGCGGGATCTTGATCAGTTCGGCCAATGGGCTGAGGAGTGGAAGATGGATTTTAATTTAGATAAATGTGAGGTGCTGCATTTTGGAAAGGCAAACCGGGGCAGGATGTGTATGCTTAATGGTAAGGTCCTGGGGACACCTGAACAAAAGAGACCTTGAGGTGCAGGTTCATAGTTCCTTGAAAGTGGAGTCGCAGGTAGACAGGATAATGAAGAAGGTGTTTGGTATGCTTGCCTGTTTTGGTCCATGCATTGAGTATAGGAGATGGAAGGTCATGTTGCAGCTGTACAGGACATTGGTGAGGCCAGTTTTGTAGTATTGCTTGCAATTCTTTTCTCCCTGCTATAGGAAGGATGTTGTCAAACTAGAAAGGGTTCGGAGAAGATTTACAAGAATGTTGCCAGGGTTGGAGGGTTTGAGCTATAGGGAGAGGCTGAATAGGCTGGGGCTATTTTCCCTGGAATGTCGGAGGCTGAGGGGTGACCTTTATAGAGGTTTATAAATTCATGACAGGCATGGATAGGGTAAATAGACAAGGTCTTTTCCCCAGAGTGGGTGAGTCCAAAACTAGAGGGCATAGGTTTAAGGTGAGAGGGGAAAGATTTATAAGGGACCTAAGGGGCAATTTTTTCACGCAGAGGGCGACGCATGTGTGGAATGAGCTGCCAGGGGAAGTGGTGGAGGCTGGTACTATTACAAATTTAAAAGGTATCGGGATGTGTATATGAATAGGAAGGGTTTAGAGGGATATGGACCAAATGTTGGCAAATAAGACTAGATCTATATAGGATATCTAGTTGGCATGGATAAGTTGGACCAAAGGGTCTGTTTCGGTGCTGTATATCTCTATGACTATATGACATATGACAATTAATTTGGGGGATTCATGGGAAATGCTTTGTGAGACTTAGTAGGATAGCTTTTTAAAAGAGCTGGCAGAAACAAGACGGACTGAATTGGTTTACTTCTGTTAGCTATTGCAGTAAGATTCCGTGAAGCCACCTATATGAAGAATCATTACATTTTATTGCAGGTGCCCTGTTGGCATTGATTACTGGTTCATGGGTCCCAGATGTGACCACAGGATGACACGGCAAAGCTTGATTGGAATTGTGTTTGGTGTCATACTCAGTCTTCTGTTGGTCATGACAGCTGTTGCAATCATTGTCCTGAGGAGGTTCAAGATCTTATTGATCGAGGCTAAAATTGACCAAACTAAGAGCAGGTAAGTTATTGACCTTTTGCAGTTGGTCCCACATCTGTCAGGTGAGTTTGCACCAACTTTTCGAGACAGGAGTGTGGCTCATAGTGGGATGGAATGTGCAAAGAGATCTGTGACCAACCTCGGGGTTCGCACATCCATATTTCACCCTTGCAGCAGGGGTCTTAAGGCTGAATATTCTGTTTTCTGTGTTATAAGTACTGTTCACACGTTGCAACAGTGACTGCCGTGATATGTACTAATTCATTAGAGCAGGGATATAACTTCTATCTATGGACCTCCGAAGACCAAGGTATCACCCAAGTAACCCCTGAAGGTAAACCTCTCAATTACTTTTGCTCTCAAAACTGTACTCTCAGCATGCAGGATGATTCCCTGATGATCTTGCTTCCTCTATTTTGAAACACGGCCAGCTAAAACACCTCGGAGATCAAAGGTAATGAATTTACTTAACATAAAAATTATATCAAAAACCATGTTAAAATGGAGAGGTAGCAGTATGGGATCTCTGAGTATGGGAGGGGTGATGACAATAATAGGAAACATACAGGAAGCATTCATTAATCATTAGGATTTGACCTGCTTCTTGCTGGAGCACAGACAGGTCTGATTTATAAGGTGTGAGAACTGCTTCATCTGCTGCACTTCTGAAGGTTAATTTGAACTAGCACGTTGTGCAAATTGCCTCATTAATATGCATGGTTTATTGCCCTCTCTGCCTCATGGCTATATCCTTGTCAGTTTGTGCTGTTCAGACAGATTTAAAGAACTGGATTTTCTAAATAGATTTATTTCTTGTCAAATTGCCTCACATCCACAAGAATGCAGCAGTGTAAAGGACACAAAACACTGCCTTTCTACTGTTCCTATCCTTCTCACTGTTTGTCATTTCCCAACTGTGTTTCAGCCCATCTCTCTTTGTCCCTATGTTCCTCGTTCATTGAAAAATTACACCTTATGAGGCCATTCGTCCTGTCTCATCCATGCTGGTTGCCTGGAAGAAAACCTCAGCTAGTCCTACTCCATTGTCTTTATCTCAAAGGCCTGCATTATTTTTTCAGGTGCTTATCTAATTTACTTCTGGAAGCCACACACTGTGGCATTATATTTCCATTTCCTAACCACTCACTGCCTAATAGATCTTCCTGAATTTTTTTTTTGTCACCAGTCATCTTTAAATTGGTGTGCTACCAACGGCAACAGTTTCTATCTCCTCCATCAAAGCTTCTCTTAACATTCTCTTCTCTAAGGAGTAAAACCACTGCTTCTCCAACATATCCATTAACCCTTATCCCTGGAACCATTGCAGATTTTTTTTCACTCACTAAAGTCTTCACACCCTACCCAATTGCCCAGAATTGGAAACACCATTCCAGTGGAGGCTGAGCCACTGTTTTATACAGATTCATCTGAACTTTCTTGCTTTTGTGCTCAGTGCCTGTATTTATAAAGTCCAGGATCCTGTATGTCTTTTTAATCACTTCCTCAACCTACCCTGCTACTTTCACTAGTTTGCACACATATACACTGAATTGCACTGACCACTTTTTGTTCTACCTACCTAAATGTAACACTTCATACTTCTCTACATTAAATTTCATCTGCCACACGTCTGCCCACTCCACTTAGTGAGAAACGAGGTGGAATGGGCTTCGAGACCTCAGCACTCCACATAGAAAGCACGAAGATTCCAAGCTCTATCTCAGCTACCAGTCAGGGAATAAGAATTAGACTCTATTGTAGGCTAGTTGGATAAGAGCAAGGGAGAGGAGCAGACAGTGGGAAGAAAATAAACCAAGAATTGTAGATGAATAGTCAAGAACAGAAAAATGGATCAGAAAGGCTGCAGCTCAGTCAGAGAAAGTATCAATGGGTTAATAACTAGAACACCAGCTCTGACGGGGATAATGGCCAGACTTCCTCCTGACTCATTTGCCTCAAGCGGTTCCTCATTTCCTGCTTCTCTGAGCAACATTTCCTCAGCTGCTTGTCTCAAACTTCTGGTTTCAGTGATGGCAAGCAGCATTTTATAACTGGGATCTGGAGGAATTCCACTCCTGCCCTAGGAATCAGTTAGCCGTGGCAGCGTGGTCTTCATTCCCAATCTTCTTCCTTGTTCTCCTTCCCACTTCTGCCCTGTGCCTTGCCTCGTCCTGTCATCTCTCTCCCCTCCTTTCACCAAACCCCACCCCTCTCCTCCTCCTCTGGCAGTGTCATAAATAGATGAACAAACTGAATGAAAGAATACAAATTTTTCAATTACAGACTCGTTTCCAACATTTTCTGAATCTCTCCAACTCTGCTTCTCATTGCTATAAGTAGTAATGTGCTGAGGAAAGTTTCCTAGATCCTGGTTACTGTCCAGTGCTTTATACAAGTGGCTGAATATTGGATACACTGCAATTAGCAACTTAAGACAGTGAAATTACCCACGTACACAGTGAGTTTAGCTACAAATATATCAGGTGGCAGAGCTTTGTCATAAGATGGTTGTATACTGCTTGTTTTGAAATGTGAACATATGAGCAAGGAGCAGGAGTGGGTCATTTTGAACCTGCCCTACCATTCAGTAAGGTCATGATTGATTGGATTGTGACCTCAAATCCACATTCCTGCCTAATATCCTTCCATATCCCATGCTTAGAATCTATCTACCTCTGCCTTAAACATATTCAAGGACTCTGCTTCCACCATCCTTCAGGGAAAGAGTTCCAAAGACACCCCTCTGAGAGAAAAGATGTAGCCTGATCTCTGTCTCAAATGGGTGAACCCTAATTTATAAACAATGACCCCTAGTTCTAGGTTCTCCTATAAGAGGAACATCTTCTCCCTGTTTATCCTGTCAAGACTACTCAGGATCTTTGAATGTTTTAATCAAAGCATCTCTAATAAGTGTGTATACGTTGAGATCTCAGTACGTCTTATCAACTTAAAAAAATCCATTTACGCCCACTGTCTGCTTTCTATTGGCTAGCCAATCTTCTATGCCAATATTTTATCCCCTACACCATAAGCATTTATTTTCCACAATAGCCTTTGGCATTTTATTAAGTGCCTTCTGGAAATCTAAATTTGTACATGTATCCCTCCTGATTTTCCACATTATATATTACCACCTTAATGAATTCTAATAGATTGATTAAACATGATTTCCTTTTCACAAAATCATGCTGACTCTGCCAGATTACCTTGATCTAAGTGCCTTGCTTTAAACTTTTATTAATAGCTTCTACCATTTCCCCTATCTCAGATAAGCTAACTGGCCCTGTAGTTTCCTGCTTTTTGTCTCCATCCCGTTTTTTGATAAAGGGGTAACATTTGCAACCTACAATGGGACTGTCCTCGAATCAAGGAAATTTTTGAAAATTAAAATCAATGCATCAACTATCTCACCAGTCATTTATGTTACAACCTAGGATAAAGCCCACTAGAACCTTGGCACTTGTCAGCCCATATTTCCAACAATTTACATAAATCAATAACATTTCTCTGGTGCTTGTGATTTTCTCATGTTCCTTCCTCACTTCTATTCCCTGAATTATTGCTGCTTTGGGGATGTTACTTTTATCCTCTACAGTGAAGACTGATGCAAAAGATCTGTTAATTTAATCTGATCTTTCATTTTTTACACTATTAATTCTCCAGTCTCACTTTCTGTAGACCCAACTCTCACTTTGCTAACTTTTAAAAATATTTATAGAAACACTGTTCATATTTCTGGTCAGCTTTGTCTTGTACTCCAATGTTTCCCTCTTTTATTAATTTTTGGTCATTCTGTGCTAATTCTTATATACTACCCAAAAATGCTAACCTGCCACCCGTTTTCGTACAACCATATGCCTTCTCTTTCAATTTGATATCTTTTAACATTTCTCATTAACCATGAATTGACCTGTTCCTTGGAATATTTCTTACACAATGGATGTATTTGAAAGAATATTGTGAAATATCCCTTTAAATTTCTGCCTATGCTTTAATCTTATTTACTTCCTCAACTTAGTTTATCCAGCTGTTTTCATACCCTCATAATTGCCCTTATATAGCTATTTTAAAAGCGCCTTGGATCACTCCTCTCTCAAATAGAATATAAAATTCAATCATAATATTGTTGCTGCTAGCACCCCAACTACATTCTAGTTTAATGAATTTAGGTCATCCCTCTCTATTATGTTTGTACCATAATTAACTAACAAAGCTACCCTGCCTCCTTTTCCTAGCTCCATGTACTGTACTTTTCAAGATTCAGGTTTCAATTCACGTCATTCTGCAATAGCTACAAGATTGCACGTATTTAGTTTTGTTTTGTTCAGGAAACAATGAGCATTCAGATACAGAGCCTTTAGTTTTAATTTTTTGTTCCTTTTGTAAATTCTAGTCTTAGCTGTTGGTTGCTTTTTGATCTGTACTCTGCCTGCTTGCTTATAGTGTGTTCATCATTTCCTGTATTAATACCACTCTCTTTGGCCTTCATGCACTCCAATTTAATCCTTTGCTGTCACTAATTTAAAAAGCCTTCTACTTCCCTAGATAGCCATCTTTGGCTACGTAGTTGTGCCACAGCTGAGTTGAGAACAGAATGTGACGTTTGACAATTCCATCACTACATATTCTAAAATCTGAAATAAGATTAGTTTAGGACATTGCTGAATGAGAGATTGGTTATGTATAAATTAAGGCGTGTTGATGGAAGTGGATAATTCCTTTAAGTTATGAAGCTGTTGAAACTCGACAAGTCTTTGAAGATTGTCTTGAATTTTCATTTATGTTGTTTGACCTTTTATTAATAAGCCCCAGGGGAGTTAGAGAGAACAGTGGAGAAATGCACAACAGTACCAGCTCAATCTAACATGATAGCCCTTGGGATAACTGTGCAGAGGGAGTACGTGCACATTTATTTCATATATTTATGTATCCGTCTGCCTGGCTTAGTTATGCATATGGCTAGAATGTTGTTCAGGATAATGGCTAGAGTGTGAATTTGATTCTCAGTCTGACAGATTTATTTGGAACCTGTCTCCATGCCCTATCCCAAGAGTTGAAGGTAAAGACAAAAACTGCCATGAAATGGCTCAGCATTAACATGAACAGAGAGTGACCCAAGGACCCACCTTCAGGCAGAACAATGAGTAATATGAGATATATACACACTTAAAGATCTATCTGAGACTTTGTCTCAGTGCAAAAGAACTATATCCAATTCATTATGCCAATATGGGAAAGGACATTTTTTTCAGTATTTGTCCTCACCCTCTGAAACCAGCTAGCAGGAAGAAAAAGGTCTTCAATAATTGTTCCATACTAGAAATAATCTGCGACCTAATTCTGTCTCTCAATAGCAGCTGGGAGTCAGGACTGACTTGTAGACTGAAATAGGGACAGAAACTGTTCACCAATACCCTGTTAACCCAGAGAGTTCAAATTGAGTGCTGAATGACCTCATTCAAACACTTTGAAGGGAGGGGGATGTTGTAACCTTGTAATTTTCCCCTCTCCAGTTACAAGCGCTTCAGTCAGTTTGATGATTTCTCCAGTCAATACCAGTCACAGTCCTGGCTCAACTACTCAGTCAGTTCTTTGAATAATCCTGGCTTCAGTAACTCTGACGAACTGATCCACCTGCAGATGTTGGACAGTAGTTACCGTTCTTGTCACGAGGAGTCTCTGAGTGGTACCTACAGCAGCTGGAGGACAACTCCAAATGGTCACTCAACCTACAGGCACAGGTGAGGATCAATAGTAAGAAAACAAACTACAAATTGAAAGTAAGGAATGGCAGAATTGTATAAAAGGACACCCAGATTGCTGTATCAAGGTCAGACTCTGGTGCCCTGACTCTCCAAGAACAAAGAAAAAAATAGGCTTACATTTTTTATATAGGGAATGTCCTGAGTTGTGAAAGGCCAAGATGCTTCACAATAGAAATATTTTTGAAATATAGTTGCTTGTAATGTAGAAAAGGTAGACTAAATGTTTCTTTATTCTTCCATGAAATGTGGGGATTTCTGGTAAGACCACCATTAGTTACCTTTAGTTGCTGTAAATGCACTCCAAAATGGCATTCAATTTAAGAGCCAACCATTTTACTGTGAATCTGAAGTCACAAGGTGGCCAGGCCAGGTAAGGACAAGATTCCCTTCCCCAGATATTGTTTTTACAACAAATCGACAATGGTTGCACTGTCACCTTCATTTGTTATTTTACATCAGCTGCCCTGCAGAGCATTATTTGCTCTGGTCTCTATTACTACTGTTAATATTACCCTTGCACAAAGGAGGGTAGTTGTGAATGATGGATGTCAATCATGTCAGCCCCAGGACATCTTTGCAGGAGTACCTCAGGGTAGTGTTCAAGCCCTGAACATCAGCTGCTTCACCAATGATCTTCCCTCCATCATATGGTCAGTGAGATGTTTGCCAATTGTGGTGTTGAACATTGCACAATTTGCAACACCTAACATATCGAAGTAGCTTATGTCCATATACAGCAAGAACTGGACAACATCCAGGTTTGGGCTGACATGGGTCAAGTAACATTCACATCCCACAACATGAGACAATGATGAACAAGACAGAAGTTTAGTTGACAAAAACAAAGTTGCTGGAAAAGCTCAGCAGGTCCGGCAGTATCTGTGAAGTAAAAAACAGAACTGAGGAAGGGTCACTGGACCCGAAACGTTAACTCTGTTTTTCCCTTCACAGATGCTGCCGGACCCGCTGAGCTTTTGCAGCAACTTTGTTTTTGTTCCTGATCTACAGCATCCGCAGTTCTTTCGGTTTTTAAGAAGTTTAGTTGAAGTGGTTGACAGAAAAATACTGCCTCAATAATGGAATAATTCCACTGCTCAGCTTTAATAATAATGTTTTGTCTTAAAGACAACTCCTGCAAATGTGTAATGTTAGCACTAGAGCATCACTTGCATATTGTGCTCAAGTGTCATGGCTGAGAGGCTAAACGGTGACCTCTACATGGAGTGACTGAAAGTCTTTTTTGGGTGCCTCGACTTTCCTACCCCTCTTAAACACTACACCTTAGCCCGGTATATAGATTCATATTTATTTGAAGTTGGGCTCTTCAAATGCTTATGACCATGAAGTAATTTTTTTAATGTTAACAATCAGGTCTAAGACAATGTCCTGGGGCGTAAGAAGTTAATTTTGAAGTTGTTTCCAAAATACACAGTTAGCTGGTCATTTTGGGAAGATTGCCACAAATACTGAAATAATATCCGGAGCGAGATTTAGGTGGTGATCAGGGGTGGGGGACAAACAGAGTTTCCTCACCTCTGCAGACCAGACCCATGCTGTCTCTTCTGCATTATCAAAAGAACTAAAGTTGCTTGTTGTTTTAGCCTTTATCTCGTTAATTAAGCCCCTAGAGAGCAGAGTGCAGTTCCACAGATATCACTAAATAATTAAATGTCAGTTCCACCCACTTAATCTTATTAAACAAACATGACACAATGGCAGTGAGGGCCTGTGATTTATGATGGACAATGTCAGCTGCAATCTACACAACCTAAACTCACAGCAAATAGTTACCCCCTGCTCAACTTCTTTGTGAGGCGAGGCCCATCCCATTACTGAGCTAAGAACAGACTCCATGAAGCCTCAGTATTGGGCTGTGTGGTTAGGGAATAAAAAAAATTCCAAGAAGTGGGGAAGGAGCAGAGGAATGAGGGGAGGGGGTTAAAAGAAAATCACTATTTCCATACCTGATCACAGCTCCACCAGGACACGTGCATGAAGATGTTAACGAAGGGCAGTTGATGACCATTTCAGAACTTGAAATTTCCAGCAGCCAGCTGCTAGTTCAACTCAGGCATATTTCAGTAATGCAGTGACTGATCATTTATAGTATTTGGTATAATCTTCAATATAGGTACTCTTCAATTTTTTTTTTGATTCTTTAGTTTACAAAACAACTTGGACATCAGTATCAGTAGCATCAATGAGCATGCTGGGGACTCTGGGAAAGCCAGTGATTTATCCGTTTACAGCTGGCCTACTGATCCTCTCCAGTGGTCACCCTTTCCAATCTTGTACCAGCTGAGCAGGGACAGACCTGTAAGTATCTCACTTTGATTCAGTTTTTTCCCCCTATTTAAATCTTTTGACATTATTCCTCATTACCAGCAGGAAGTGGTATCCACAAATTGGGAGACAGGAGGAACTGCAGATGCTGGAGAATCTGAGATAACAAGGTATAGAGTTGGATGAACACAGCAGGCCAAGCAGCATCAGAGGAGCAGGAAGGCTGACGTTTCGGGTCTAGGCCCGAAACG